GAAGATTGTAAAGCGGTAGTCATCGATTGTTATACAAGCACGGTCACAGAGCTCAACATGACCAAAAATTTGATTCCGCGTGATGCAGAATCACCAAGGTGGGTGAGTTTCACGCCGGTTCCACAATCTTGTTCCTCGATCTTTCTTTCTTTCAATCCGAAAACCCCCAAAGCACCTCGAACATTAGCATCACCAACACAAAATTCATTTGTGACACAGAATTTCCTTAACAGTTCAAATTCGTTGAGTAGGTCATCGTCATCGTACAGCGGGATTGAAAAAAGGAATTCACGGAGCACCAGCTTACCTGTACCGCCAACGGAAAGTCAGTTTTCTCTTAAAAATACGTCCACGAGTAATTCATCAAATGAAAGTGGTTCGGATTCGGATGATGATTCACAACAGATTCTAGGAGTCGCAGAAAATTTATTCATCTGCACGATTTCCAACGTTTCACATATTGTCAACATACGTGCCGAACCTTATGCCTATTCTCGTCCTATACGTTGGGCATCGGAACCTAATCGAATTTCACTATTACCAACTATCGACGATATATTCGTCGTAGCATTTGAAAATCAATTGGTCGAGGTGGGTTCAACGAAGACGGGTAAAATTGTTAAGACGGCAGCAAGTGGCGCTCCTGTTAAATATTTGGGAGAATCATGGAGAAAGCCTGTTCCCCAAAAGGTACCGAAGAAATATAAATTTGATGAGGGAATAAAGAGATATACATTTTGGTCATGTGAAATGGGAGATGAAATCTATATCTATCGTGGGGATGTGTTTGGAATAAATTAGTCAACAGCTTCAAAGATTGTACATATACATTGTATATCTTTCATCTATTTGCACATGGACAACGTGTTAGCATTATTTAATTAAATACTTTACGCGTTTAACTACAAAAGGATGCTCATATCTTGTATATTCTCAGTCGGATCGGACATAGCCTACGCCATCCATCAATTTTTAAAGAAAAAAAAAAAGGCAAGATAATAGGATCATTAAAACTTACATATTCAGTATACAATAAAGTAGGATCAACATTATCAACATTACAAAAGAATAAACTATTTATTTCACGTAATACAAAAAGGTATTTAAAAAATAATTTTGAAATTAGACTTCAGGTAATAGTAAAGTGATGCATTAATTCAAAGAATTTTAAAAGTCGGAAGGTCTTATTGTTAATGTAAAGAACATTCTCAGGAAGTTTGTTTATTCACTTATGTCTAATCACGCGTTAAATTTTTAAGATCTGATGTTTTCCTTGATTGTTGCATAAATTGTGGACGGGGTCCTTATTAATGTAAATTTATGGAATACATATTTGGAGAGGGAAACGCGTTACATATACTGTATATATGGAATCTTCGGAATAATGATGAGAAAGGTACCATCTGGGAAACATCCGTTTTGTGATCGAAAGCATGATAATATATTATTTATTGATATCTTTAAGAAACAAGATCACCAGTCACAGATATGTACGTCTAACTATTATAAAATGTTAGATTGTAGACCCGATAAGCTGCGAATCAAAAGTAAAATATTGCTGAAGATAAATAAACTATACCAACTGATACCAAATAGATAAGCCAATACACCAGATAGAATTCACCAAGGAATCAATTAAAATTATCTAATTTAAAATCCATCAGTTTAGTTTAATTTGTAAAATATTTATTAATAATTAAATTAAAAATCTTGTTTTATACAATTTTATTGCCAATATAATCTTTTTTTTTTTAATTTATAATTACTGAAAATTAGAAATCTTATTTTCAAATATAACAAGTTCTTCAGAATACTTACAGGAAAAATGATAACAAAGATTCAAAAAACAAAAAATATCAATAAATGAAAATAAATTAAATAAAAAAAATGAAATAAATAAAAATATTAAAATAACCAATATTTTATTTGAATAAGTTGTATTAATAATCTATAAATTATAATTTCTATATTTATTTTTTGGATAAAAAAAAACTAAGAATAAATAATCTTATTTATTTTCAAAATTATATTTAAAAACAATTGTTTAAAACAAATATTTAAGTTTATAAAATAATTTAATATACAGTATATATTTAATAATGCTTACTTAATATTTTATATATATTATTTGTTTTTTACAAAAAATTTAATAAACAACACAAAATTGTTTAATTATAAATTAAATATATATATATATATTTTCATATAATTTAATAATTTTTAAATATTAACCTAATTATTTTTTAATATATTTAAATTAAAAATATAACTGTAAATTAATTGTTTTAATTATATATTTTTTAAAGATAATTAATTAATTGTAAAAATAACAAATCTAACCTGTGAGTTAATAGCACAGTAGGTAGTATTTTCAGATTTTCAAATATATATTTCTAGTTCAATATCCATAAAAATAAAAACATATAAAAATTTATTATTTATTTATAAATTTATAAATATTATATTTAAATATTTGGATTCAAATCAAATTTAGTTAAGTTGCATAAAAATAAGACCTCTGGTCCTTTTGATAATTATAGGTTAAAAACAGATCAAATTAAAAAGATTATATAAAAAAAAACTTCTAATCTAATTCTAATAATAAATATATATCTCCTCTTAATATAGTAACTCTATAATATAAAGAATACTCTAATCTAAAACTATTTTAATCTGATATTTGTTTAAAAAAAATAATTGTTATAAAAAAGTTTAAAACTACAGATAATAAAAACAAATATAATATCTTTTTTAGAAATTTTAAATAAAAAGTATTAAATAGATTATTTAGATATTCTAATTAATTCTAAAAGGTATATATTTTAAATAATAATTGTTAAAATCTAGAATAAGTTAAATAATTTAAATTAAAGAAAAAATTTTCATTTCTTAAAAATTCTATTCAGTATATAAATCCATTTAAACAGTGAATAAAATGATATAACTTAATAAAACTGTAAATAAAAAAACAAATTAACTTAAATAAATCTTGTACTTATGTAATTAAATATAAATAACTCAATAAAATACATATAGTATTAATACTTTTAATCTGAAAAAAAATTAATTATTAATTAAAGTTTTTTTAATAATAAATAATAATTTTATAAATTTTATAAATTTTAATAAATATATATTATATATACTATATATATAATTTAATTAATAACTTTTTATAAAATTGTTAATTTATTATTAATTAAATATTAACATAATTTTTATATATTAAAAAAATTTATTAAAATTTATTTGTTAAGTTTTATCAAAAAAATAAGTAACTTAATATTAAATTAATAAACTATTTAAAAAAAAAAATTATAAAAATTATTTTAAAGTTTGATTAATTAATATTTGATTAATTTTAATATTGAAATAATATAAATAAATAATTATTTATTATTATTATTTTTGTAATCAATATGAAATTAGATTTTTTAATTTGTTTTTTTTTAAAAAAAATACAATTTAACAATGTTATTTAAAAAAATTTTTTTATGTTATTTCTATTTTAATATATATATATATATTTATTTATCTTTTTTGTATTAATTAATTGTTGAATTAATAGTAAAAAATATAAAAATATAAGCTTTTTCACACTTTTTTTAACCAGAATGTACATATAATTAATAAAATATAGTATAAGCCAGATGAAAACAATAAAAAATTTATTTTGTAAAAAACCATAATAGAACTTAAAAGATGAAAAATATATTTTTTAATATTGTTTTTATAATAATCAATAATCAATAAATCAATAAATAAATGAATAATAAATACATATAACAAGTTTGAATTTTGTGATTTATTATATTTAATTTATTATAAAGTGTATTTTGTGCTATTTTTGATTGTTTGTATATACTTTATATTGGGTTTTTGACGCGTCATTTCAAAAGTTCACAGAGGCTAATTCAACGCACGAATAGCTAGAGCCTGATTTAATCAGCATACTATAAGTATGACGTGAATCAAAATTTGACTCGCAAGAGAAACTTGAAACTATGATATAATTATGAGAAAATGACCGCGATATCAAAAGAAGATTATGTAATTGATTATAAAAATATGATTAAAGTATTCTATATTAAAAGAAATTATTTATTTAAGAATATTAAAGACGTTACTTTCAACAATTTCCTTTTTATATAAAAACCGAGAAACAAAAAAGTCACAAATCCATTTCTATATTATTTCACTTGCTTCAATCTTTATGAACAATGGGAGACGATGGATCGTATCTTGAATCTGACCGTGGTCCTATCTCTGGTATGCATACTGAAGAGATTGCTGAGACAACCGAAAGCTATATACTGGGAGCAGCCCAAAGGGGTTCCTCTTTAGCCGGTTCGGTGGGAGCTGCTAGTAGAGGCGCAACCGAGGTTATCAGTCACACTACTGAAAGCTTCGTCGAAAAAGGCATGGATGTGCTTAAGCATCCCGGGATGTATCTCCAACCACTCTACAAAGCCTCCATGTATCTTTGGCAAAACTTTCCACCGATTAGCTGGTTCGGTTATAGTGCAGCGGCATTAAACGCCATCCCGATAATTATCCTGCTGGGATTTTTGTTTGGCACGTGTGCTTTCGTACTTTCTATTGCCGGTATCGGAATTTTTTTAGCCGAAGGATTTTTTTTAGGCTTGGGGTTACTATTTCTTGTACCTGTAGTTTGTGTCTTGACCTTTGCGACCCTTACTACGTCATTCTTCACCGTGTTTGGGTACGGATGTTATCGTGCGGCAGTGTTTATTCTCCGTGGGCTTGGAGTACTCGGCGAAGAAATTATAGTAGATACAAAAGGAGTCGCTCAAGGAGTTGAGAGAGCAGTCAGTCACTTACAGGAATGAGTGATTAGGTTTACAGTATTTAGCGGATATGGGTAATGCTATTATGAGATTTTAGGTTTATAATATCGCTTAACTTTTCTGGTTTTCTTTTTCGAAATAGTACTCTGTTTCATTCAATGATATGATCTAATGTTTTTTAACGTAAATTAAGTTCTAAAAGTTATTTGTTACTATTTTGCGTGATCATGATTTTTTAGTTCAGCGAGTAAGAGAAATGATATTTCGCGAAAGTTGTTGCAGTAATATTGCATTTTAGTTAGAGCACAGAGCTCCTCGTAAATCAAAAGGGATATTATTGAAGTAAAAAATCTCTGTATAAACGTACATTATATTAGGAATAAAGATTTGAAACGATCACGCTCGAAATAAAAACTAAGATCCTAGAACTGAGTCGTATAGGAAAAGTTTTGGGTATATTTTATTTGGAAGTTCTGTATTATGTATGGTCTATTTAACGCTACTTTGAACACTTTTTTCCGCCGACATCAAAGAACATCAATTCATCTAACGATCACGAGCATTTCGTAAAATAAACATCAAGAAACCTGTCATTTTCTAGGTAATTTGAAAATATATACTGTATATCTATTGTTGTCTTACATAAAAGGAAATTGATCGACAATATAATTTGAATTAAATACAAATTTCAATTATTTACTATATTACTTTGGAGGCTTTAACTATATAACTTAAACCGAGATTATACATCATGAGTTTTTTAAGCTCAAATAATGATATATCGACTGAATATATAAAGTTTTTTATAGAGGTTGAGGGAGGGAACACACACAAAGTTTAGGGATTTAATCAAAAAGACAATTAAGTGATATTATTTAAATTGTGCAATATTTATTTAATGACACTCAAATTTTAACTATAACTAGTTTAAAACAAATATTTTAATTTTTATACTTTGCTTTATTTCATTTATTATCTATAACTAATTTAATA